TAAATAATTTTAATTGGTCGATTACGAAAAAAAAATAATGATGATAATACGTACGTTTGATACGTATTCACATTTATATAGATTCGATTTGAATGCGTAAAAGTATATTTAATAAAAAAGACGTGGCATTAGAAAATTGATAAACAAAAAGGAAAAAAAAGCAGACGAAAAAAAGATTTGACCTTGAGAAATGATTAATTTCTTTAACTATTTGATGATAACAGGTTGATTAAAATCCCGCATCGTAATTATTTTGTTTTTTTTTTTTTTTTTTTTTTCATTTAATATAATTTTGTGTGGTTTTTTTCTCTTTTTAGTTCAAGTTAATTATTAACGTTTTGAGTAGAGGTGGAGGAAAGGGGGGAAGTTGGAGGGTGAAAAAAATGTCAAAGGTCAAGTTTTTTTTAAAAGATAAATTAATAAGTAAGACTTTTAAGAACGTGTAAAAAAAAAAAATATTTTAATTTATAATTTTTCAACGACAGTGTTTCGTTAACAACGACGACAATAATAATAATAATAATAATAATATTTAGATGGGTCGCTTACGTAAAAAAAAAAAACGGTATTAATGATAATAATGATAGTGATAATAATAATAATAATAAAAATGAAAACGAAACAAGGTTAAATTTAAATTTCTTTTTTTCTTTTCTTTTTTCTCTTCTTTTTTTTTTTTTCTTTATTAAATAAGCAAATCACAATATTTCGCTACGATCGTGAAAGTCAAAATAATAATAATGATAATAATGATAATAATAATAATGATGATGATAATAATAATAATAATTTATTAAAATATTTAAATGAATTTTGTTTTTTTTTTTTTTTTTTTTTTTTTTTTAATACATGAAACGAATATTTTAATTTTAGTTTAGTCTTTTGTTATGTTTTTGTTAACGAAATAACAAAAAAAAGATATTTAACCTTTGACATTTCGCGCTTGAACCTTTTCGTCAGGTTGACCAATAGAAATAACAATAATAATAATAATAATAATAATAATAATAGAAATTTTCCTTTTTTTGATATTTATCTAAAAAGAGAAAATTACATAACGGAACAGCAAGAAAGGAAAAAAAAAAATACATATAATATTCAAAATGTCGAAAATTTCTTACGAATAATAATAATAATAATAATAATAATAATAATGAGAATAATAATGATAATAATGATAATGATGATGGAGATGATGATATAATTTAATAATTTAATATTAATTTGATTTTTGACCGGAAATTAAACGACGAGTACATTTTGGTAAAGAATTCCAAATTTATTTATTTTTTTTTAAATTATAATTTTCATAACCGTTAATTAAACGTTATCAGGGATTGATAAAAACATTTTTATGATTAAATGGAGTGGGAGAAGGGGAAGGAAGGGGAAGGGAAGGGTGCATGAATAGATTACCGGGAGGGAAAAACGAAAATTTAAAAATTTTTAATTTTTTTCTTTCTTTCTTTCTTTTATCAACCGGATGATTTTAATTTCGTGGTTCGCGCGTATTACGTATTTTAGTGTCTTCTGCTGCTTGTTTTTTGGTTTTTTTTTCTTTTCCGGTTGTTGACCTCGGGCAATTGTTTTTTTTTTCTTTTTATTTTACAAAAAAAAGGAAAAAAAAAAAAAACACATCATCCGGCCTTGTGATGGAATCATCATCATGTCCTGTCTACCTCGATCGAATCACGGTCATCATCATCATCATCATCATAATCATTTATCGCCCTATTTTTTTATTACCGGAAATGGTTACCTTCAAAAAAAATTTCATAATTTAATTAATAAATCGTTGCACCATTTATTTTTACAAAAAAAAGAATGAATGAAATAATAATGATAATAATAATTGAAATTAAAAAGGTTTTTTTTTTACTTTTTTTTGTAACGAATTCGCAATATGGCGGCCACGCGATTTAAATTTAAATTTTTAAATTTTTTGCGAAAATTTAATTTCGAATGATAAAAGCAGAAGAAATTTTTTTTTTTTTTTAATTATTTCATTACTTTTGAATATTCAATCATCAATTTAAATTAACCTTTAAAAGTTGAGAGAGAGAGAGAGAGAGAGAGAGAGGGAGAGAGAGAAAAAAAAATGAAAAAAAAGGGGAAGAAGTGAAGAAGACATCAAAAAAATTTTTTTTCTTAAAAAAAATAAGTAAAAAAAAATTAATTTGCGAGAGAGAGAGATAGAGAGAGGAGGGGGAGAGAGATAGAAGAAAAATTAATTAATAAATTTCGTAATTAAGTAAACGGTTTGAACGTTTTATAATCAAGTAATATTAAATTTAGGTAAAAAAAAAATTTTTTCACCAAAAAAACATTTATTACAAAATAAAAACTAGTAAATAATTAAAAAGATAAACTTTTGCCCTAAACACACACACACGAGGGTACAAATTATGTCCCAATAAACAAACAAACAAACAGACAAACAAACGCATAAACTGTTTTTGTCAAAATGTCCGAACAGAAACAAAAAAATAAAATAAAATCAATAAACGTTTACGTAAACGTAATTTTTGACGTTTAATACAAAAATTTTCATTTATCATCATCATCATCATCATCATCATCATCCTCATTCTAATTATTATTATTATTAATGCGAATGATGACCTTTAAAATGATAATAATGATAACAATTAATTACTCTCTATGGAAAGGTCAAAAAGGAAAAAAAAATTTTTTTTTGAAATAATTTTCATTTAAATGTATTTATATATATATATATATAATTTAAAAATTTAATTATTATCGTTACCTTTTACAATTTTTTTTTTTTTATCTATTTACACGACGTTTTATTTTTTTTTTTTTATTTCCGGTGAAAAAGTTTCCCGGTCGAAATTAATTTTAAAAAAAAAAATTTTTTTTTTTTCTATTTCGGAAACGTAATACTTATGTATATATTTATTTATTTATTTAAAAATTGTACTATTAAGCGCTATAATAATAATAATAATTATTATTATTATTAATCGATTAGATCAATAATTAATTTTAATTAATTAATAAAAAAAAACAAATTAATGCCGTTTTTCTATAAGCTAACATTTTTTTTTTTTACACGCGAATGAATTCTAAAAAAGAAAACAAAACAAATCTATTTACACGACGTTCGTTTCGTTTCGTTAAAAGAAAAAAAATGTCGGTTATTATATCGCGATGACGTAACGAATTCGTTTCGCGCTTTTATTAAATTTAAACCGTGGCAAAAGAAAAATACATTTTTTGAATGTTAGCAAAAGAATCGTTACCCGAACGCACTCTTCCGTCGTACGTAACGTTTTATTATTTTAGTATGACGTTATCGGAAATGTAGTACGTTCTGTAATAAGAATTATCGTCTGCTTAAAAAAAATGGCGGGAAATTCAAAAAAAAAAATAATGTTAAGCAAATGGCGTAATGCGATAATTATCGTATTGTTTTCGCGTTGATAATGATTAATTAATTATTTTTTTTAATAAGAAAAAAAGTTTAATTAACGTTTTCTTTTAATTAATTAATTATTTATTAATTTAATCGTCGGCGAATAGAAAAAGAGAGAGAGAGAGAAAATATTTTTTCAAAAAATCGGTTACAAAACGGTTTTTTTTTTTTTTTTTTTTCATTTTTTGACTTTATACACGCATTAATAACGTATTGAACGTTTCTACATAAATTACATAGAGACATAAATTTTTGGTAACAATGTGCGTATACGCATATAAATAAATAACTTATTAATTTTATTAATTAATTAAAAATACCGAAAACTAATTAATTTAGACTTATGCTTTTTTAGTTATTGCACTGAGCAATTAACTCTCATATTTAATAATAATTAATATCTACTTTACAATATATATATACATACATTTATTGTTATTATTATTATTATTTATTTTTATAAAAAAAAAAAAAAAAAAAAAAACGTTTTCGTGTATATTTACTTATTTACACGTCATTTTATATATTTTTTTTTTGGGGGGGGGGCGTGGGCTAAACGACAAAAACGTGAAAGAAAAAAATTTTAATAATGATAATAATAATAATTTACGTTTTTCGATTATTACTTTTTAATAATGATAGTAATAATAATAATAATAAGTAACGGTTGATCATTATTTATTATGTAATTAATTTTTTTTTAAAATTATATTTACGTAAAATTTAAAATTTACCCTGTCTTTTATCGATAATGGCGGAGTTATCATTATTATTATTATTATTTTTAATATGTAACCTTTGACCTTTCTTTCTTCTTTTCTTTCTTTTTCTAACCCCCTCTCCCCTCTCTCGTTCTGCCTCTTTTAAAGAAGTAATTTTTTTTTTGTCGTGTGCGCGTTTTCGAACAATTCGAGAAGAAAAGCAGAAAAGGAAGGAAGAAAATTTTTTTAATTTGGAAAATCATCATCATCATCATCATCATCATCATCATCATTATTATTTACACTGACGAAACGAACGGAAAAAATTTTTTTTTTTTTTTGCTGTTACGTATGGTAGAAACGAACGCGAAATGAAATTCAAAAAAAAAAAAAAATTATGACGTTCGATTTCCGGTTACGTTTCCTCCCTTTTCCTCTCTCTTCCTTCCCGCCTCCCCTTTTCTCCCCCCCCGTGCGAAATTTTTTTGTTTATTTTTGATTTTTACGTGGAGTCGCATCGCTCGGACCGTCGTTAATAACAATACTCGGACCTTCGTTCGAACAAACGGAATCTTCTGGAGTTCGCGATGCTTCCGCTTCCGTAACTTCAACATCCGTTTGTTTCGATGACATTCTATTTGCTTG